CGAGAAGAAATTGTTTAGTTAGCTATTTTCAGAACACTACCACCAATGTGTAAGCTACTATCTGAGGAGTTATTACGTGGTTAGTTGTTGTCAACTAGTATTCGAGAAGAAATTGTTTAGTTAGCTATTTTCAGAACACTACCAATGTGTAAGCTACTATCTGAAGAGTTATTGCTGGTTAGTTGTTGTCAACTAGTATTTGAGAAGAAATTGTTTAGTTAGCTATTTTCAGAACACTACCACCAATGTGTAAGCTACTATCTGAAGAGTTATTGCTGGTTAGTTAACGTTGATAAAGAAATTATATACTATCTTTAGAGTTATAATCCGTTAGTTTCTTTCATGTAAACAAGTATTTAAATTGTTATTATTAACACTGAGGAGTTACTGCGTAGTTAATGACTGTCAGAACCATTTGGAGAGCTGTTGACTAGTTACTGCCGAATAGGCTATTTTATGAAGAGTTTTCGTATGGTTAATTGCTCTCAGATAAACTACAATCTGATTAATTATTGACAGGCAAGTTAAATCCGGAGAGCTATTATCTTGTAAGAGACTATCAGCTACAGTCTCTTGAGGTAAACTACAGTTTAGAGGGTTGTTGTCAGATAAGCTACAAGCTGGTTAACTACTGATAGGCAAGTTAAAATCCGGCGAGCTTATCCTGTAAGAGACTATCAGCTATAGTCTGATGAGGTGAATTACAGTTCAGTGAATTCTTGTCAGGCAAGCTATGATCTGGTGAGATGTTGGCTGTTGAGTTAATGCCAGATAAGCTACAAGCTGGTTAACTACTGATAGGCAAGTTAAAATCCGGCGAGCTTATCCTGTAAGAGACTATCAGCTATAGTCTGATTAGGTAAATTACAGTTCAGTGAATTCTTGTCAGGCAAGCTATGATCTGGTGAGATGTTGGCTGTTGAGTTAATGCCAGATAAGCTACAATGTGGTTAGCTATTGTTGGTTAAGCTATAATGTGGTTAGCTATTGTTAGGTAAGCTACAACCTGGTTAGTCAATGTTACATAAGCTACAGTCCAGTTATTCATTGTTAGGAAAGCCACAGTCTGGCTAGCTATTGGTAGGCAAGCTACAATGTGGTTAGTTATTGTTGGTTAAGTTACAGTGTGGATAATTATTGTTGGTTAAGTTACAGTGTGGATAATTATTGTTGGTTAAGCTACAATATGGTTAGTTATTGTTGGTTAAGCTACAATGTGGTTAGTTATTGTTAGGTACGCTATAATATCTTTAGTTAATGTTAGGTAAGCTACAGTCTGGTTAGTTATTGTTAGGTAAGTTACAATGTGGTTAGTTGTTTTTAGGCAAGCTACAATGTGGTTAGTTGTTTTTAGGCAAGCTACAATGTGGTTAGTTGTTTTTAGGCAAGCTACAATGTGGTTAGTTATTGTTAGGCAAGCTACAATGTGGTTAGTTATTGTTAGGCAAGCTACAATGTGGTTAGTTATTGTTAGGCAAGCTACAATGTGGTTAGTTGTTTTTAGGAAAGCTACAATGTGGTTAGTTGTTTTTAGGCAAGCTACAATGTGGTTAGTTGTTTTTAGGCAAGCTACAATGTGGTTAGTTGTTTTTAGGCAAGCTACAATGTGGTTAGTTATTGTTAGGCAAGTCCCTAAAAACCGTTAAAGTTATACAGAAGATATTATACCAATATATATGATTTCATACATATTTGTCAGAAAACGGTGGAATGTAATAGAGTGTTGTAGATGATGATGTTGTGTTTTTAGACATCAATACTATGAGCGCGAATTATTAATCCTATTCTTCAGCGTTCTTAATTGTATTTCGATTTTTGAAGTCCATAATATTCTATATGTTTCTGGAATATTTAATCACTCAAAAACCTATATGACTAATATACCAAATTGTTGATAAATGGTTAGAAATATAGTGACTATCCATTTTTCAAATTAATTTCTAACTATGACCAGTATTATCTTGCACATATTTCATAATTAAATGTATCACATGTTATTGAATATCCATCATTATATCTATGTGTTGTTTCGTGGTCCAAGTTAAAAACGCAATATGGAAGAGCTTTGCGAGTTGTATCCTCGAAGTCTTATACATATTTCAATCTTTATAACAGGAAAGACGCTGATATTATAGAATGATGTTAAAATTATATTTATCAACTAGAATCTACACGTGATTATTGGCTTTTGAAAAACAAACAAGCAAAGCAATAACTAGAATATAAGAAAATAAATAATGCCATATACATTTATAAAATTAAATTTAGATAAAATGAATTATTAAAAATGGTTTGATAATTTGACATGTTTTGTAAAATGTTTGATAAAACGATCTGGTATTTGATTAAGTGCAGTCACTGAAATTGTTGTATTAAATTCACACACCAAAGTATATAAGATTAAATTAACTTTAAATACATATACCGTGCCCTTTGTTAGATGTCTTATCTAAAAACTGTCGATAAATATGAAACCCATAATAATGGTATTGGCTTACGTTTATATTGTTAACTAGCGTGTAACATACATACATGAAAATTAAAACGACCCGTAAGAAGCTACGACTCAGCAGTGCCTGTATCGGATACAAGTCTCAGATCTGTAACACAAGGCGTTAAGTTATACAAGTCTTAAATTTGAAACATATGACGTTAAGTTATACAAGTCTCAGATTTGAAACGTGTTGTTAAGTTATACAAGTCTAATACTGGGAACATGGTGTAAGTCTCTGACAAATATTCGGTTCGAATTCGAGTGAAATCATATAAATAAAAAAAAAAGATATATATATATATATATATAGTTGGGTATAATTTCAGTTCTTATCATTGGCGGTCCCTTGACATAAATTAAAAATTGTATTTTTTATTATATTCCAACTTCAATGTCTAGATTACAGCTCTTTTTAATCTATATGGGGCGGAAACCATACCAAGGGTCGTTTCCATGGAAATAGGAAGGATAATAATATTTCTTACAATATAGCTGAATAACATAAGAATTCAGTTTCAAAACAAAATAAGTTTTACTTTAACAGACTGTGATGAAGAACCACAACTTCAGTTAAAATGCCTGATAGATATATATGATGGTTTTACTTCAACCAAATATCCTATAGAAGTTGTAAAAACATGCACATAACACAGTGATTAAGAAAATTAAAAACCCTATGGGAAAACAATTACACACAACACATACGTTCTGAGAACATAAACCAAGAGTATAAAATACTCTTCTGCTTCTGAGCATTTCACCTTTTATAGGCCAATAGTTATAGAGGAATCCAAGCAGTCTAAAGCTCAACACAACCATTCTTTTCGAAGGCGATTCGTCTCGTGATAGATACTTCACTTTAAGTAATTTTTAATTATGATACGAAAATGCACAAGAAGATTGTTTGGAGGTACCATTACTACACATTAAACATACATAGCATGACCTCATCGACAACCATATGGTTAAATAAGTGATCGAATCAATGTGTAAATAATGAAAAAAGGCTACATGAGGAATGAAGGTGCACTTTTACAATACCGCTGAGAGCCAAAACGTCGTTACTTAAGCAGTTTCTTTAATAGCAGGAACAGTAGCATACGTCCAGTTATCCCTCGTTAATGCCACTACATGCGTGTGTATATGTATAGCTCTACTTCCTAGAAATGCATCGCAGTAACTGATATTTGTAAGGCGAGAGTCACGCTATAAAAAGGCAGATTCTGTCATTTGCCGAAACGACTGGAGGGGCTCTACGCATGTCTTAACTAACGACGTGGTTTCATCATATTCGTAATTGCTAGTAGCTTTAGCTGTTGACTTCTACGAGCTGATCACGTTCAACCCTATCAGCGTAGTTGCTGTTTTCTCAAGTTGCTTTAATATACTTGAACGACTGGTGAACGAAGCTCAAGAATCAAGCTTGATCCAAATGTAAGTAAAAAAAAGAAAGAAAATTAATGTGTAAAGTTCTGAAATGTATCAGAAAATTCAGCGTACAGGCAACCTGCTAAAAGCTGATGTGTGTTTGAAACTCTAAAAACACTTAATATTATTCAAATGATGTTTATTCGCGAAGGTAACCGATGACGATCGGTTTAATGGCGCCAAAATTATATTTTATCTATATAGTAATATATTGGTGAAGGGTTCTACCATTATCTCTACATGTGTTGAAATTTCTTCTGTTTTCCCAATGTACGATTACCAAATTTTATCTTCATCCCTAATCCTCAAAATAGTTCATAAGGCTCTTTTGCGTGTTTTTTCCCAATCTTAATTCTATAGCCGAATGTCTGTTTTCAAGTTTGACAAATGAATTTTTTTATTACTATGTAAACCCTTTCCTCGACCTAAGTCATGAGTATATATCGCTTTTGCCTGTTGAAGTTGACATGCTTAATGTTCCTTCTCAACTCTAATTCTTCAAAAACACTTAATTAGTTGAAGAAATATATACTCAATATATTATTTCTAAAGTTTGAATGAAACACAAGGGGGACATATCTTTTGGCTATAATTTTCACAGTTAAACCTAAAAAGAAGTTCTTAAGAGTATTTAACCGATGTAGTTATCTTACCTTGACATCTACAGAAGAAAATAGGACTAGTATTTAACAGAAAATACAGGAACCTAATCCATACAGCTGAGTACTTTGCGATTCTGCGAGCCTCAAAGCTTAGGCCTTACTCCACACTGATGCAGGTCGTCGTTCTCCATCTAACCAAGCGGCTAAGCCACTCTCAGTGTTCCGCTCGGCACCAGACTTTAACCCGGAAAAATGAGTACGAGGAATTAGTAGAATTTGCTTATCTTATTTAACCACACATATAACATTTAGTGCACTTCACATATCCACCAACGTAGAAAAATGTATGGTTGTTTTGAAGTTACTAAAGATATTTATAGTAAATTATTTATTAAGCAGTACCAACCACGCTTACCAAAACCGCTTACCAACCACGATTATGAGCGCGAGCGATGTTTAGTCGCATGGTGTAGCATCACGAGTGAGCTCGACAGCCAACAGGCCTTGGTACCAACCGTTCGCCTGGAGCACTCATAAAAAATATTTTCATGTCCCTTACTCCTCCCCCCCACACACTCACCTCTCATGCTCCCCTTTCATCCTTTACGCGTAAAAAAAACAAAAAACTCCTCGCTTGAAATCAGGCTGTACCAAAGTCGCAATAGACAGGGTGGGGTTGTAGAGACAGACAGACACACATCGCAATAAGTGGTGCTAAGCGTAACAAAAACAAAAAAAACACACTAAAAAACAACAAAAAAACTGACGAATGTTGTGGATTCTCGTTTGAAATTTGGATACTGTTGTTTCTAAGGGACATAGAAGGGACACAAGTCAGGTGAGGTGACTGTTTATTGTATTGATTTTGACTGATTTCAAAGTTCAGAAAGTTAAATGTCAAGTATTATCGAACTGTGTGGGAAGACATAACCTCTGACCAATATAGAGGTGGCATCCGTACAGTACGTGTACTGAATGAGAATAAGCAGCGGCTGATTGAGCCCGCCATCTGGTTAACCGGTGAAGAGTGTGTCGCTGAATGTATTTTGTTTTGTCCGTTTTTTATTTACTTGTTTGCAATCTTCCCAGGTAATACATGTCGAAAACTAAGTTCAGGCATATTTGCAGACACAGTATCAACTTATCTTGATATGTTTCTTCCAGCAAACAATCGATGTCGGAAAATGTAAAACAAAACGTTCCTTAAAAATACAAAAAAATCTATATGGGCTCATGAGTTACTGTTCTTTTAGTGGTAGACTTTCTTTAATATAATGTTTTAAACTAATCTCAGTGACTGTGTTTATGATGGACTTTCTTAATTAGAATGTTTTAACTAATCTTAGTGACTATGTGTTTATGATGGACTTTCGTAATTAGAATGTTTTAAACTAATCTCAGTGACTGTGTTTATGATGGACTTTCGTAATTAGAATGTTTTAACTAATCTTAGTGACTATGTGTTTATGATGGACTTTCTTAATTAGAATGTTTTAACTCATCTTAGTGACTGTGTTTATGATGGACTTTCTTAATTAAAATGTTTTAACTAATCCTAGTGACTGTGTTTATGATGGACTTTCTTAATTAAAATGTTTTAACTAATCTTAGTGACTATGTGTTTATGATGGACTTTCTTAATTAGAATGTTTAACTAATCTTAGTGACTATGTGTTTATGATGGACTTTCTTTAATCGAATGTTTTAAATCATCATAGCAATTTTTGTGGTTATGATGGGTTTTATTTAATCACATTTTATGAATAATCTTAGCGACTTTTGTGTTTGTAATGGACTTTATTTAACCGAATATCTTTAATAATCTTAGTGACTTTTGTGTTTGTGATGGACTTTATTTAACCGAATATCTCTAATAATCTTGGTGACACTTATGTTTGTGATAGACTTTATTTAATGGAATGTTTTAAATACTCTTAGCGACTTTTGTGTTAGCAATGGACAATATTCAATCGAATATTTTAAATACTAGTAGTGACTTACGTATTAATGATTGTCTTTGTTTAATCGAATTTTTGAATGATCTTAGTAACTTTGTTTAGTGATGGTCTTAGTGACTTCTTGTTTGTAATATACTTTGTTGAATTGAATATTAACTTTGTGAAAAAATGAATTTTTACTTGATTTGAACAGGTTTCTCCAAGGTTGTTGTAAAGAGTTTGTTTTACTCCTGAAGAACTATAAGTTTAGTTACTTTTGACTGATGTTTGAAACATGCTCTAATTTTTGATGAAATTACTGCTGAATTAACCACATGTCATTCTGCAAGATTTTAAAATTTTCAGTTAATTGCTTTTCAATGGATAATCCCCATGCAGGCAATACAAATACAGGTAATCCATGCTAATGTAGACAATAAAAATAAAGGTAATCCATGCTAATATAGACAATAAAAATAAAGGTAAACCATGCTAATGAAGACAGTATTAATAAAGTCAATCTATACTAATGTAGAAAATATAAATAAAGGTAATTCATGCTAATTTAGACAATATAAATAAAGGTAATCTGTGCTTATGTTGACAATATAAATAAAGGTAAATCATGCTAATTTAGACAATACAAATAAAGGTAAATCATGCTAGTTTAGACAATACAAATAAAGGTAATTCCTGCTGATTTAGACAATACAAATAAAGGTAATTCATGCTAATGTAGACAATACAAATAAAGGTAATCTGTGCTTATGTAGATAATATTAATAAAGGTAGTCCGTGCTAATGTTGACAATATTAACAAAGGCAATCCATGCTAATGTAAACTATAATAGTAAAGGTAATCCGGGCTATTTGTTTCAGTTTTAGTTATTGCAGTGTTTTGTTAAAACGAAGAGGTTAACAAGAACGATTTGTAATTTGATGTTACAGCTTTACGTCGTGATGCTAACTTGATCCATACCGGACAAGTTGACAGTTTTATTGATGCTGCTATTTTTGTATCATGGATATAGGTAGAAAATAAGTCTATCAAGTTTCTCACCTTATTCTTTCTACAAAATGTATTAACTCCACTGACTCTAATTACATAGTCAATAAGTTAGTAGCATATTATAATTATAAAGCAGTGTTTAAACAATCTGATTAAAAATTTAGCTCTGTAGTTTTGAAAAAAAAAAAACCCTCAAAATTGTGTACATTAGATAAGGTGTTGAACGCACCCGATATTGCAACTCAGGACAGTTCTGGTCTGAACATTGAAGCTTGTCGGAGCCTCACTATTCACCTTCCCCTGCCATTGGTTGATCACGTTCACCTCACATCCCTTTGTTCCATAACAAAGCCAAGGGCGTCCTCTAAAGAACTTAAATGTGCCGCATCAAAGACCCCCCTAGCTTTGCTTCGATTAATCTCAATCCCAGGTATATGAGCGCCACTGCTACACTAAGGAATATACATTTACACAGAACTAGGCGCAGTGTACATGTATATCATTTCTTGATGCTACAGTTTGAGGTACATATTGTGTATAATGAATCTTATACTACAAGACACGTGATACATTTATAACCAGAATTTCACGTTAAAAATATTTCTCAGTTATTTCTGTAAGTTCTTGACCCGTCGCTCGTAATCAGCTCCAGGCTAATTTACATATACTAAGCAAGTATACAGTTCTTGTGTCTTAACCTGAATGAGTTTTAGTTTTAATAGAACGAACGGAGACAATCATAGAATTGTTTGTCTCGAGGAAAGGTGTTTTGTATACTATTTACTAACACATCTAAACCAAAATATGTGAATCACAGCGCGCGGGAAAATAGATTTCTTAGTTTTCGATATATAGTTAACTAAACGTCGAATTATACACAAGAGAATTTAGCTGGCGCTGTTTATAAGTGGAAATAAACTAGGCCCTCACATTAAATATTAAAATATAAGTCACATGAAACATTTCAAAGTACATATAACACTACTACAGTATGTGCAACAAAGTATGTAAACCCAGCAGACATAATATATACTTCTACATCATCACACTAGTTGTATATAAACATAATGTACAGATAAAAGGTCAACAGATACACACAGTGTGTAGACACTACAATCACAGGACAGCAGACATAGTGTGTAGACATTAGAGTCACAGGTCAGCACATACACACAGAGTATGTGCACTACAATCACAGGTCAACAAATACATACAGCATGTAGACACTATAATCACAGTTCAGCAGATACACACAGTGTGTAGATACTAAAATCACAGGTCAGCAGATACACATAGTGTGTAGACACTATAATCACAGGACAGCACATACACACAGTGTCTAGACAACAATCACATGTAGTAGATACACATAGTGTGTAGACACTACAATCACAGAACAGCACATACACACAGTGTGTAGACACTATACTCACAGAACAGCACATACACACAGTGTGTAGACTACAATCACAGGTAGCAGATACACATAGTGTGTAGACACTATAATCACAGGACAGCACATACACATAGTGTGTAGACACTGTAATCACAGGTCAGCACATACACACAGTGTGTAAATACTACAGTCACAGGTCAACACATACACTCAACGTGCAGACACTACAATCTGTACAGTCACAGATTAGCAGATATAGTGTGTAAATACTACAGTCACAGGTCAACACATACACACAACGTGCAGACACTACAATCTGTACAGTCACAGATTAGCAGATATAGTGTGTAAATACTACAGTTTCAAAGCAACCTACATGCATAATATTCAGGTACTGCAGTTATTATTGGTGAGGAAATGTATTGGACAAATTTACATTTGTATGTTAGTGTATAAAATAATGTGAAGGCACTGGAATCATGTTTCTAAGTGATCAAACATAATGTACAAACTCTTCAGACATACATCAGCATGTAAACGTATAAACATTATAAGCTTGATAAAAGGTGTGCAAAGTTAGCGTGCAAGGCACCACACAAGTTAGGTTTTAACAAAGTTCATTTATAGACACTACAGTTGTATACTACATAAAAACTATAATTATATAGTATGTGATGTATAAACATTCTAGTCAGATGTAATTGTATAGACTCTTTTCATACGGACTCTGCAACTACATCACAAAGTGAAAAAACAATAACATAATATATAGATAAAGGAGTGAAATCACAAGGAGAACAAACACAATATACAGATAAAGTGATGTCACATCAACAAATAAAGAAGTTAAGTCACAAGGTAAACAAATACAATATACACTACAATCACAGGTCAGCACGTACACACAGTCATGTCACAAGGTGAATGAACAAACTGTACTACAGTCAAATGTCAGTGTATAACTGTAATAATGTCACAAGATAAATGTAGTGTACATCCATTACAGTCTTGGCATAAAGTAAAGACAGGAATGTAGAGAACAAACTGTACTACAGTCAAATGTCAGTGTATAACTGTAATAATGTCACAAGATAAATGTAGTGTACATCCATTACAGTCTTGGCATGAAGTAAAGACAGGAATGTAGAGAACAAACTGTACTACAGTCAAATGTCAGTGTATAATGTCACAAGATAAATGTAGTGTACATCCATTACAGTCTTGGCATAAAGTAAAGACAGGAATGTAGAGAACAAACTGTACTACAGTCAAATGTCAG